AATAAAAACTAAAACTACCAAACAAAATAACTACTTTGCAAGTGCCAATACCATAAAACTAATTATTTTATGTATTTATCATCCAATCCATACAATGCCAGTATAGCAAATTAACACCTTCATTTCAATCACTTGTGTTTAAAATTTTAAAATTGACCTCAAGCCCTAATAAATGGAAATCCAAGCTGCCAAATTCATTCACTTTTAAGGTCGAATCATTATGACCTTATCTAGTACTCCATACTATGTATTTTGTATTCCTGAATAGGCTGTTGCACCGCTCGTGTATTTTAGGCTCATACCCTTCATTCTATTTGCGTTTTTATTGGCTAAAATCTAATTAAAATCAATCTAATCAGACAAAAATTAATATGAATTCAAGAGAAGAAGAGAAGTCAGAGATGAGAGAACTAGATTCACTCCATCGAAACGAAGGTGGTCTGCGTTCAAATGAGGAACCGATTGCGAGTTGAGATTCTCAATTTAGGATTTGCGGCAATGGTGAAAGGCCTATTTGCAGCCTCATAGTTCTTCAATTGAGTTGTGTCTGGATGCATGAATGAAGACAACTATTTTCCTATTTCTATTTAATTATACTTCCTCCGTCCCACTACAATTCTCTCATTTTTTTCATTTCTGTTTGTTCCACTAAATTTGTCTCATACCCATAGTTGATAATATTTATTTGGCTCCAATTCATTCTTACTTTATTCTCACTTTATCAATTCATTATCCCCACATAAATCTACTTATTTAAAAACCACACTATTTCTTTTGTCCCAATCTTAGGAGATGGATGTAGTAATAAGTAGTAGTAGTACTAATAATTTATTTTTTGGAGGCTCCCTTGGTATGTGAGGCCCTAGGCAACAGCCTGGCCAAACTAGCCCAAAGTTGGCACTAGTCAACAATCGATGAGGCCTCACGCCTCGATCGCTGCCAGCCGGCCACCATGCGTCCGCGCCAAACCGTCATTGTTGCCTCACCGGGTGCCTTTCTGACTTTCTCGTTTCTGTTAAATGGCTGAGTTGCTGCACGCCAAAGATTGAATTACCTCCGACCTCGGCCCTCTATCACTCGGTTAGCACCGAATGCACCTTTATATCTTACGGCTTTTTTTGCTTCTCTCTTTTTAATTACAAATTAGGTCCTTGTTACTGTTAGGATGTAATTCAATATTTCCAAATACTTTGTGAAATTCTAGAGAATTCTAGGACCATGTGGAGATGAGTAGAATTCTCTAGAGTATTGTGGAATTATCTAGAGAAATATAGTATTCTCTAGATGTGTGTAGAATGTTATAGAATCTTCTAGAATACTCTAGTCTCTAGAGAAATGTAGAAATCTCTAGAAATGTGTAGAAGGTTGTAGAGTAGTCTAGAGTGTTCTAAATAAGTGTGGAGTCATCTAGATTCTTCAAGAAGATAATGGAAGCTTGTGGAGGCTCCTTGAAAGAATCTAGAATGTAGAGAGGTGGGTGGAAGATTCTAGCTAGAGATGGAATCCTACCCCTTTGTGAGTAGTATAAATAGATGGTGTAACCTTTCATTTGTGGTGTGAAAGAAAGGATTCTCGTAAGTGAGGAATAGTGAGTATTCCCAACTAGAAAGTGTGAAGTGAGAAACCCGTTCGTTTGTACACTCTCTTGTAAATTTCAATTATATAATACAAGAGTTTTTTTCTTAGCTCGTGATCCTGGTAAAGGTCGGGGGTCGTGTATTCCCCAACAGTTACTTTATCCATTTAATGAAGCATTGAAGGTTGAGGTTGTTGAGTAATTCAATTAGTAATTGTATTTAACAATTAAGGAATTGGTATATATAAGCATGTTAATAGGTTTTTGGGTTTATAATTGTAGTCCTTAACCCAAAATGAATTGGGGTTGATATCACTAGAGTTTGAAACACTTCAAAAGATTGACATTGAAAGTTTGATGGGTGACTTTGCATTTAAATACGCTCGAAGAATGTTCTTATAACTGAAATGTACTAGTCAATCGACCCATGAGTTGCGCGGCCGGATTCCCTTGAATGTAATTTATTTGATAGACAATGATTTTTAGTATATAATCAAATTGAAAATATAGGAAATACATAGAAAAAAAAATCATAATCAACACTTAAGGTGAAAATATGTGTAGCTAGTGTTTATTTGTTCTTCCTTTTTTACTACCTGGCCTCTCTATGCTCTATTTTAGGAAATTCAAGCATAGGGTATAGATATTACACTCGTTGTTCTAGTGTACAATACTTAAAAATGATATATAGATAGATATTTTATGTGAATTTATGTATTTGTATGTAAACATGATATCCAAACCTTTCAAATTTTTTGAGATTGATACAAACATGTAGCAATTTATACATTATGGTATTTCTAACAATGCATGTATTATTGATTAAGTTTTCTAATAATCGTGTTTCATATCCAGTTGAATCGTTGAACAAATTAATCATCATATTTCTTTGAGAACTAATGAAAATGTTAGAAGTTGTAGGCATGTAGCAGCTGAAATAGGAAATACCTGAGTGGTATTAAAATCTACTAATGCCCTTACATGGGTTTTATCTACCATCCGCTAATACCGAACATCTAATCTATCAAACACCATTTCACAACCTGTCAAATTAGTCCGCCATCCAAACCAGTCAATTAAATTTGATATCAATTATCCGCTAATACAATTAGCTAAGCACTAACAGCTAAATTTCGATTGACAAACAGGTCCAAAAAGTTAGTCATCCTTAAATATTTCATATGTGAGATTAATCATATATGTAAAATAACATTGATATTATTGTTTTTGTACATAATTAGTTCTTATACTATTTTAATTAATATCTATACACATTAAATATAAGAGTTCATTTAATGTTTCAACAATGACATTTTGTTGGAGGGAAAATAATCTATTTGATTTCGAACCATAGTAGTTATATATATAAAGATTTTATTAACAAGTATTTAATAAAAATCATCTTTAATTTATCACTATTATCATCTTTATTTATTTTCTATTTCTAATTTCTACTCCCTCCGTCCCCTTTTAAATGTCCCGTTTTACCATATTGGGATGTCTCTATTTAATTCCCCCATACCTTATTTGGTAAACTTTGTGTGGCTCAAAATCATTCTTACTTTATTCTTACTTTATCAATTAATATCAACCACACAAACTCACTTTTCTTAAAAATCGTGCCACCATCTCCCGTCCCATTTAAAAGGGGACGGAGGGAGTAATTGTTTTGGAAAAAATGGCCAAATTTATGTTGTTGCATGGGGTCCCTATTTTCTAAAGACTGGCCCTGTTGTGTTTTTTTTAATAATTTTTTTTGGATGAAATGTAAATTATATTAACACCCAAGTAAAATCCAAACATGTACAATGTGTCCAACAATCTAAAGTCCCCCACCCCCTCCTATTTCGTGAGAAAAGGAGAGGGTTAGGAGACTTTTTTATCTAGACTAAGTCCATCTTGATCAATACGCAAAAGTATGCGGCCAATAAGTCAAACATCAAAACTATGATGGTGCTGCAATGGTGCATGCACAATGGTGCAAATAAGTCGCCCATGCCTTGGTACCAAAAAGTCCTTGACTCCACTTCAAAATTTGATCAAGTCATGTGGGTAGATACTAAAGAGTATTTTGTAAACCATATGCTTGATCTTAGCAACAATGTCATCTTCAGTCTTCGTTACTTCTTCAAATCTTGCTTTGTTTCTAGCTTGCCAAATGTAATATGCCGCGGCACAGAATGTAAGCCTCCCAGCCTTGGCCTTCATCGTTGCTCCTTTGTGTGTCTTGGTGATCCACTTGATTGCACTGAGGAGCGTAGTCATTTGATGCCCAAGTCCTATCCATGCTCGAACTCTGTCCCATACCCTACAAGTAAAAGGGCAACGGAAAAAGAGGTGTGGAATTATCTCCAATCTACCCTTGCATAAGTCACACTTATTTACTATGTGTAAATAACCGAGGCTATCCTGGGTAGGAAGCCGATTTCTAAAAGCCAACCAAACGTTGAACGAGAATTTGGGAGGGATATAGGATTTCCAAATGAAACTCATTGGAGTCCTAGGGATCCCTTTAACTCTAAGGAGTTCATAAATCTTGCCTGACATTAATTTCCCATTGATGCTCCTAGCATTAAGTCCCATGATGGTTTCATTAAAGTTATTAACACAACCTCGAATTTTGTCTCGAATTTGGCCACAACTCTTCATGAGTTGCGAGTCCCGGCCGTGTGGGATGAAGTCCCACACACTTTGTCCACGAAGATATATGCCATTGACCCACCGGACCCATAAGGTATCCTTCTTTTTATGGACGTCCCATAGCGTACGAGAAAGGAGGCTATCATTCCAGGTTTTAGCATTGTGTATGCCGAGACGCCCTTCCTCTTTTGGGAGGCAAATGTCATCCCAAGCTACTTTCGAAAACTTTCCATCCCACAAAAAGATCCTGCAAATGGACATTATCCTATCCAAAACGGTTTGGGGAACCGAAAAAATTTGGAGCCAAAACGATTGGACCCCTTGGATCACAGATCGTATTAGCTCGATTTTCCCAGCATAAAGGGTGTTAACGACAGAGCTATTAAAGGGTGAACCACAAAGTCTAAATCATTGTTTATATAGACTGCTTAAAAGTTTAAATCACCAGTTTCCAATTCAATTTTTTTTATGAAATATCCTTCTACGGATGTTTTCTTTTGGACTCTTTTCAGTCCCAGACCAGACCAGACCAGACTTAAACAGACCAGACTAGACTTAAACAGACCAGACCAGACTTCCGTAGTTATAAAATACACAGAGACCAGACGTTTACCATACCAGACCAGACCAGACCAGACCAGACTTAAACATACCAGACCAGACCAGACCCGACTTAAACAGACCAGACCAGACCAGACCAGCAAATTTCAGTCCAAAAGAAAACATCGTACATCTATTTTATCATCTGCATAGTAACAAAATCCTTGATGGAGATGAGATTGAAATGCAATTCAAAATGCCTTAAATTTCATAGTGTCATCTTTCGTTCTTTTCCCAAAACAAAAAATCCACGAATTTATCTTATCTGAATTCTACTACAGACCCACAAACTTATGAGGAGGCTACAGAAGGATTACAATGATGAACACAACCATGTTCAATTCAATCCAACTCAAAAACCCCTTTCTAATCGTTTCCAAACAACACTCCTCCCTCACTTTCTCCTTCAATCCCTTACATTCCCTATCTTCTAAACCCTCATTCTTTCCTAAAAGAGCACTTCGATGGAGCATCAGATCCTTCGCCGCGGAGCACGAAATCGATATGGTGAGGAACAAACAAGGGGTTTACACAGCCAAGTCCAAGAAAGTTGTGGTTTTGTGGGACTTAGACAACAAGCCGCCGAGGGGACCGCCGTACCAGGCGGCGGTTGAACTGAAGAGGGTTGCTCAGAAATTCGGGGAAGTCGTGCACATGTCAGCCTACGCCAACCGCCACGCTTTCTCCTACCTTCCCCGATGGGTTGTTGACCAGCGCCGCGAACGGCGGCGTCTGGATGTTCTCGAGCGTAAGGGGGATCTGACCCCGCCGGAGCCATACGTATGCTCCGTCTGTGGCCGGAAATGTAAGACCAATTTAGACCTGAAGAAGCACTTCAAGCAGCTGCACGAGAGGGAGAGACAGAAGAAGTTGAATCGGATGACCTCACTGAAAGGGAAAAAGCGGCAGCGATACAAGGAAAGGTTTATCGACGGCAACCACAAGTATGTTGAGGCTGCTAGGAGCTTGATAACCCCGAAGGTAGGGTATGGCCTCGGGTCAGATCTGAAGCGAGCCGAGGTGTTTGTGAAGACGGTGGCAGATAAGCCACAGGCGGCGGATTTAGCATTGAAACAACAAATGCAGCATTCACTGAGCAGAGGGGTTGATTGGGTCTTCTTGGTTTCGGATGATTCTGATTTTTCTGAGATGTTGAGGAAGGCTGGGCAGGCGAATTTGGGGACAGTAGTGGTAGGAGATTCGGACAGTGCATTGGGGAGGCATGCTGATTTGTGGGTTCCATGGATTAGAGTCGAAAAGGGGGATATAACTGAGAATGATTTAGTGCTAAAAAGAAAGGAGAACTCTTGGGCGTGGAGTAGTAATCACAAGGTTTCTGTCAGCCAGTTTGATGGTGGAGAGGAAGAAGTTAGGGATGGTCCTGTTGAAAGAAGGCAACTTAGTGACTTGCAAAGTTCAGCTTTTTGTGAAACAGATGATTTAGATGTTTGGGAAGAGTGTGATGATGACTCAATATATGGTTCTGATGATGATGATCATGAAGACTTCATATAGTTTCGTCCCTAAGTCAGTGGAACAACTTCTGTGAAAAAGACTAAGCTTTGATGCAATTCTATTGTTAACTGAAATTGGGTCCAAAAGTGTGAGTGAGTGCACCCCTCTTGCTTGATCAAGACCCTGGACAAAATTGTAACAATATATTAGTTCAAAACAAAAAAAAAGTTTTTGGATGGTCCATGCTGATGCTTACTTCTTGGCACGTTGGAGAGACTCCAGGTAGATGATTTGTTTCTGTAAATCTGTAACTATGATGGATCTGTTGTATCGCCTATCACTCAAGAAATCATCAATTTAAGTTTGATTTTGGCTATCTTTCTCTTTTGGAAAAGACCATGCAATGTTTGCATCAATATGATTGCTCTGCGCACCTCTTAGTTTAATCACATGTTGTGCATGTTTGGTGACCTCCCCCTTTATAGAAATTGCTCTAAATAGGACTAAAACTTAGACAAAATGCACAAATAGGACTATATGTATTTTATTTCCGAAATAGGACTTATTTGATCCTATTAAAAGTATAAAACTTCCCCTTTTAGGAGTGGATAAGTCCTATTCTAGGAAGAAAACAATGATAGTCCAATATGTGCACTGTGTTTATGTTTTAGTCCTATATAAGGAATTTTCTATTACCTTTATTACAACATTCATGTGTGTAACTTGCCAGTATGTTTTATATTTTCATGTATCTGTTACGAAGAGTGAAACTCTGGTCTTGGGCCAACATGTGTGTGTTTTTGTGGTGAGAATTAATATCAGAAGTGAAGATTGTGAAGAAGTTGAGCAACTCAGATTTATGTGTGTGATAGAATTTACCTTCTTGCAAGGCCGCATCACTGTCATTTTACATCATTTAAGGTCTATCTTTCATATTGTTATTATTGTTGAACAGGTAAATAAAGCAGTGCATTCAAATACTTTGATAGAAACTGTGGATGAATTGAGCCAATTGAGGGTCTAGTTGAAAAATATTTCATAATTTTGAGCTAACACAATAATTTTGAGCATAACCGATGTCTTCAAAAATCAAAATATGGATAGTAGAGAAAGGAAAACAGATATGCTAGCTCTGGGCGCGTGCCATTTGCGGTATTGCAGCACAAGTTCGTAAGAGATTTAACCATTCATCCCTTTAACTTACTGTTTACATTTCTATACATTTCAATTTACATAATATTATTTTCATATCGTGGTGTCACTTGTAAGCAATGAGGTTATAGAAGTGCAAATGTATGAAGAGAAGTGTAAATAAAGAAAATCTGCAGAACTTACAATAATCTATTTATAGTAGAAGTGTGAAAATGTAAGTTTAGTAGATTCTAGTTCAGTTCAGTTTACTTCTTAAAGAGTGGTCTATGAAGTTTGAATTATACCTTGTTCAATCATGTACGAATGAGTAATAGAGAGGTTAGGAGGGCACACGATGCTCATTCATGTGTTATTTCTAGGAGACATTTTGAGAATGAATGGTTAGACATTTTGAGAATGAATGCTCAGATTTGTTGTGATAATTTGCCAAGTACAAAGAAATTTTTCTTGTGTGGCAACTCTAAAAAAGTGACAAATTCATCTTCTATTAAAAGTCATTTGGTTATTGACCTATAAAAACATCAATTTTGTCACGGATATTAATTATGGTAAGCGTCTCTGACAAATGGAATATTTAGAGAAATGTAGCATACTTCACAGAAACGACATAGTTATGGACACTTGTGACAAAGTTTGTCAATGATATATCCTTGACAAATCCCATGGAGTTTCAAGAATGATGGTGTTGAAGGACCTTCACGGTGATTTGGTCTGTCTGATCCGAAATGTAAAGACCGTATGACAACACTGTTTTTCGGCTTATCAAGCTTATCAACCAACTTTTTCACCAAACATGTATCTTTTGTTTTCGCGTGCTGATTTGTGTAATAAGCAGAAAAGGTTGGAGTTACTTTTCTGGTTGTATTGGCTGAAGTTACTGTAGATGACCATTTTAGCTATTTTTACATATAATTTTTCTTTATTTTATTAATAAAATATACTTTAAAAATAATTTTTTCTTAAATCAGTAGAATCAGCCAATGCAGCCACTTCAGCCAGAACTTCATAAATTTCAGCAGAATCAGCCAAAACAGCCGATTTTCGTACTACCAAATGGGCTTGCAGATTCTAAAAATTTGGTTTCCATTTTATCATTGTAGCTTCGTCATGGAATAATCCGAAATGTGGTGAGCATTTTATCTTACACTAAATTTATCTTTTATCTTCATGCCATGTCTTGAACAGTTGAACAGCTCAAATATTATTTCCCATGTGATAAGGAAATCAGAAATGCTGTGTTGGCAGACAACATAAAGATAAATGTATTAAGATTTCATTGTCCTTTTTATGTTATGGCAAGATAAAAGTTGATTTTAATGTCTTCCAAAGATGTAGTAATACTAATATGTTATCAGTTGTTTTGTCAATGGTTTCAATGTCTTCCAAAGATGTAGGAATACTAATATGTTATAAGTTGTTTTGTCAATTATTGATAAATATGAGTCTTGCGTCATGTTGTGGATTTGATCTTCAAAATAGACAGCAACTACTAAAGAAATTGAATCAACACAAGGAAATAGTTAGACCACTTTCAAAAACATTTGCAAAAATGATATCTGAAGAATACGCTGGAGGTGTTATACTATCTGGAGAGCTATCACCCTAAAAGGTAGTTACAAAGGTAGATGAAAAATCACTCAACATCTCAAACAATGCATTATAATATCTTAGGGAATAAATGCTAGGGAAAATGATGAAGAGCATGAAAATGAGAGAGCTAATTAAATGGTCGAATAGTTGGAGGTTGAAAAAACTTGTTGGTGAGAATGTGTTCTCAATTGTGTTAAAGAACTTGCAAGGTATTCATATGGGTTTGAACATAGGTCATCAGACGATATTGCATCCGCTAATCTCATGGGGACTCATGCTATTTAGTCCCTGATATGGTAATTGTAATACTAATTTACGTAGCATTATTTATCTCTTTACTCAAGATCATCAAAGTGAAACAAAAAATAAGTTGACCCGTAGGTAATAGGTTCAAGGATTTGTACATCTTAATGATTTTATATTTGTTAAACTCCTTGTTTCTATAATTTAGCTCATTACTTGTTTTTCCTGATCGCCATTATCTTGTTTTCTTTGTTTTTGCATTTAATGTAACAATTAACTAGCAATGTAGTGATACTTCCTTTGTGAAATGAAAGGTCCATAGGGTGATAGGGGATGAGTTTTCAGATAATGGTTATGGATTGAGGATGTTTTTAATTGGAAGTTTTGTGTCCTGATCTGGTATGATTTGTTCAAGACTGGTCTAAAATGGTCTAGTCTAATTGATGTATGTTTTATGTGTATTTATAACTGTCGAAATATGATTTATGTAAACGCACATAGTTAGCATGTTTGTTCATCGCAATAACTTATATACTCATATGTGTTTTGAGTATGTCTCTCGAAGTGTCGATCAGGCAGAAAAGATCTCTTTTATTTTCCCATGACTTCTAAATTTAATGTTGGATGCCGAGTTGCCGACTCTTGTAATTTAAAATTCCTTAAAGTGATGAATTTTTCTTTCTTGTTCAGTTTGATATTCAATTTCCTTAGTCAAATTGGTTACCCTATTTAAATTCTATTGAATCAGGATTTATTTCGGCTAGCTTCTTGCTGATGATACTTTTTCTTTCTTATATATTTCATGAATTCGAGACATGGCCATTTTTTTTTGTCTCGTGTTGATTTAGTTTATAAAAATTCTAAATTCTTGAATCCTGAGTTGCAGAACATCATACTACGCTATATTAAATGAATTTTGCTCCTCTCCAGTAACTGAAATTGTTCAATAGGAGAGAGATAGATCGAGAGAGGTGAGGAAACGGTGGGGTAGGGAAAAAGAAAAGATTATGTTTAATTATTTTTTAAAGAGAGAAATAGAATGAAAAACAAATGGAAAGTAAATGGAGAGAAAGAAATGGAGTGGAATATGACTCATAATAAATATGCCCAAATAATTTCAAGTGTACGTATCGTGATGTAAGATTGATAGGCTCCATATGAATCTTATAAAATTATAAACTACGATTTCATTGCTTTGAACAAAAAATGGTGCAACTATGCTTGAAAAATTATATCTGCATATATCTATCGAAAGTTATATCTCACAAAATATATGTTCTAATCATCTAATGTTTACTAGATAAACCATATCAGGCATTTGTCAACCACCCAGCATATAGATAGTATACAACACCATTTCATTTGTAGTAGTTTAGAGTTTCAAAGCATCCAAATTTCCCTAGTTGTATAATTTTGGTGAGCTATATTACACAAAGTAATCGACTAGAGGCGATTGCTATCTATCGAAATCACTTATATAGAGCAAATTTGATTTGAAGACTGAGCAGACCCCTTGTCTCCATTTACCATTGACAAAGTTCTTGTTAAAAATAATCAACTTACCATTTGTATTATGTTACATATACTATTTCCTAAATCTAGTCTCATATCTGACTCGAGTAATTTAGAAATTCATTCATTGGGATAAAAAATGGAATGAGTCACGGTAAAGAAACATAAAAAGAATATCTAGGCAAGTGAACTTGCACATATAGAAGTGGATAAAAATGGGCGACAAGTAAACACCTATTTATACACTCTTTTTTTACGGGTTATACACATTTTTTTTTAAACAACAGATTTTATTAAGAAGTAGACAACATAAAACCATCTTTGTGCTGCCTTTGATTCTTTGCCCTGAACGATTTTACGATCACGACAGGGCAATTTAACTGTATTGGTAAGGCAGGGAAATGGAAATGATGAAAAGCGGACTAGTTTTGATTTGTGTCAAATAAAAGGCAGGCGTGCACAAGCAGTTAAATCTGCTCGCTTTTCAGGAGCTAGTGGTATCTGATCTGTTCATAAAAGCTAGCAATGCATGCCGCAACACCGAAAAGTAACGTATGCAGCTATAGAGTTTTCTTCTAGTCCGGTAGGTTCGTAGAAGTAAAAAACGAACCAAACAAATCTCACCCATTAGATATAAACGAAAGCTGTGTAGGGCTCAGATTTAATTTAAATGTCAAAATCAGACTTTTATATACACCACGCGCTCGTCGATTCTGGAGTACACTTCTCTTCTCTCTGTAATCTCCCAAGTAGGAACCTCGACACAACCTTCCTCCCGGCCACAAGCGTCCGTTAATCTCTCTATATTTTTTTGGTTTTTTTCGATTTTCCTTCAAAATGTTTCTACGATCTCTGATTTCACCCAACTTTTTAAAGTTCTACAATTTAGAACTTTTTCATTTGTTGCGGGCTAGTTTTAATTGTATTTAAATTGTGTCCAAAGTATGAAACTTTTTTTTCCTGTGTTTGAGATGAATTGTCAAGCTTATTTTCTAAAATTATAGCTTCCCCTGAAATGTAAAATTCATCTGAATATTAGCCTAGTCTTAATTTTCAAACTAACCTACTGTCAAATTGCAAACCCAGGTCGGCTGATTTTCGGTCTGTCCAGGTAATGTAAGTTTCATCCTACCGTGTATCAAATTTATTTTTACCTGTCCGTAGATTGGTAATTGAAATTCTGTTTTTTAATAAATGCCTATTCTGTGTATTAACAGGGCAACATCACACGTGGGTATATGCAATGGTTTGATCCGGTTTACTGAGAAAGGTTACTAAATTAGAAAAAAATGAAGATTTGCTACAATGTTCTAGTTGGTCGAGAGAAGTGTACTCATTCCATAAGAGAAAGATCTAACAGATAAAGCAAATGAGAGGTCGTTTGCTACAAGAAATATTAGCAGTGGTCTGTTTTTCTGAGTGATAGTGGTGTATAACCAAATAACATAGCTATTTGGTAGCTTTTGAGGCTTTTTAGTTTGCGGGGTTAGTGTAAAAATTCAGATTTGAATAATGGTTTATGATGGAAGAGTGTGTGTAATGCCAATGTAGTTTGTAATTCTAACTTTGTGTTTGAGTTCCAACTTTCTGGAAAATGAAAGACACCCTTTTTGTGTTATTTGAGTTTTTCAAGATATGTTTATAGAGGAAGAGTTAGAATGTAGCTTTGAAAAGGGCTGCCTACAGAAAAATTATGCCTGCTGCAATAACATAAACAGAATCTGAAGCAAGCACTGCCTATGAATTACCTTATGCAAAAACGACCTGGCCAAGCATAAACCAAGCAGAACGAACAAAATGGCCAAAATGACAATTGCCACAACATGTTTAATACTAAGTAGTCAAACCAAATGACCAAAAGATTCAGAATTCATAATAAAAACATGTTTAACAACATCAAAATGACAAAGTTCTGATAGAAGTACAAGTACATGAACTAATCATGTTCAAATGACAAAGTTCTAAAAAAACACAACTACAAATTACTTAATTTCCTTTTGCCTGTTTTGGACAATTGCGTTTGTCGTGACCAGACCCCTTACAAACACTGCAAACACGGTTAAGAGCTGAAGATTTTTCTAAACTTGACTTTAAACGTTTACCACACCCCTTGTGTCTTGCATGGTCGGGCTCCAGTAGATCTATCGAACATGAGGATTCAACAACTTTCTTTTTTTTCCTTTGATCACTTTGGTTATTTGCCAAATGTTCTTTGAACTTTGTGCGCCACTCTTCTAGTAGCTTTAGACCAATTTCTTGATCTTCAGGTGACTCGTCTAGTAGCTCATAATAACCTCCAAGAAACGCCTCTAACGCTTTACCGCTTCCCCCACACAAGGCGCGTCTATGATCCTCTATTATTGTAACACCAAATGAATCTTTCACAATTCCCCTTCTCGCTCCCTTCTTCCATCTGTCAAGTATATAATACTCAGGGAGTTCATATATCTTAAGGGAATCTAATACCCTCAAGATGTGTGCACAAAGTATTCCAAAGAACTCCATTTTTTTACATGAACAACAAGCAATTTGTGTGTCTCGAGCGAAATGGACTTGTCTAGTCATCTTTACACGTGTTTCGTTTGACGTCCCTTTAAATTCTAAAATGAAAACCATATGGTCTGTGTCTTCCCTTATCAATTCCAAGGAGTAAGTGAAACAATTATGAAGTTCTGCTTGAAACTCACGAAACATTTGACGTGTATATATATTGGCAAGTTGTACCTCCTGTTGTGTCCCATATTGCAACTTAGGCCGCCCATTCCTATCATCATGATCACATTGATTCTCACGTTCTCGTTGCCTTGAAAGTGCTCTATCAAATCGGGTGACAAACTCATTAAAACCACACCCTTTGTACACAAATTTCTTTAAAAAAGAATGTGTAGTCTCACTTCGTTGAGTTGAGGACATGCCAGCTGAAAAAACTTTCTTGAAATAGGCTGGAACCCATTGTTCCCGAATCTGAAACATGTATGACATCCAACCATTATCTTGCAAACCATTTTCCTTGATAGCATCATCCCATTGTAATTCAAATTCTGCAGGTGTCTCGGAGTGTTTGATAACATGATAAATGTTGTCAAAGGTTGGTAGAGAGCTTATAAGCAGACCTGCTTTTTCAGATACTTTACTTAAAACATGCCAAATACAAAACCTGCACCATTGAAAAGTATGTATTTAAGTGTCATTGTTAAACACCGTCTAGAGAGCCTAAAAACATTGGTACATAGAGTTTTGAAAACATTGGCAAATAGCTTTAAACATACAGTAATAATTTTTAACAAATAACATGGGGTGAAGAGGCAATGGTAACAACCCAGAAATGTTAGCATTCATATGGGCTAAAAAAATCAGAAACAAAAACACATTAATTAAATAAAATGAAGCTCTATTTATACCTGTGGTAGGTCATTGGAAGGAGGTGAGAAATTGCTTTGCCTAATGCAGGATCTTGGTCAGTAATTATCACCTTCGGGGCGGACCAGGCATGGCTTCCAAGAATGCCTCCAATACCCATACATATGACTCAAATGTCTCCTTATGCATAAATGCACATCCAAACAAGATAGACTGGAAATGATGATTCACACCAACAAAAGGAGTAAATGGAAAGCCATATGAATTGGTGTTATAGGTTGAGTCAACAGTAACCACATCACCAAAAAAGTGATACGAGCGCCTGCACGTAGGATCCGCCCAAAATGCCAACTCAACCTTCTTATCATTGTCAGTTTTGATTTTATAAAAAAATGATGGATTGTATTCCTTCTCAATTTGGAAATGTTCCAAGAACATTTGTGCATCTTTACCCTTTACCTTTTCTCTTTCATTCCTCACATGATTTCGTAAGTCCGTTTCCACGAAACCTATGTCATCAAGACCTCTAGATTCTGAAGTGAATATACCCATTGCTTGAGGGATGGAAATATTATTGGACTGGAGGGTAGAAAATAGCTTCTTCTTTGCTTCAGAAACTTTACGATGGGACTTTAACAGATGCACCTTGCTTGGTGTTACACACAAGTGATTATGAGCTTCCTCAAATCGATATATCTGAAAGACTCCAACCTTTTTTATTCTCCCGACACCAAGCATTGCTTGACAGCCCGTACGCGTACTAGTGCTACACCTTTCATTTTCTATATTATGCATTGGTTTTCTTTCAAAGCCCTGTTTATTACATGTATATATTCTTGACTTTACGATCCCTTGTTTGTCCTTTTTGACAGATTCCATACGAACACTAAACCCAGCTTCTTTAGCATAAGCGTTGTAGAAGTCATAAGCATCATCGATATGTTCAAATATCATACCAACTTGTGGTTTTTTATCACAGCAAACACTAGGTATAATATTAGTTGTGTTTTCAGGATTTGATTCTTCCATAACATACTAAGCTGCACTCTGAAAAATAAATAAAAAAAATTAAGAAATACCATTGACCAATATTTGTGTGTTTAAGCAAAATACAGAGTATATTCTTACTAAAAAATACTGTATGGAACTTTTTTTTCACCTGTATACCGTTTGATACACATATAGTTATATATACAGGTCTAGGTTAAATTAAGAAATATCACACATGAGAAGATTTCATAGATAAATTAAAGTAAAATAATTGAGCTGAAATATGAAGTAATGGAAAGAAACAATACTGACTAAATTTAATTGAGGTAATACGAAAGAAGTTTGACCAGTACTTTTAAGCGTGTACCTCCATGAGGTGGTACTCTGATGGTAGACAGTGAAGAATAGAGGTTTGTCAGTTTGTGGTCCGGTAGGAGGTGGTTCTCAACGACGAAGTATTCCGATTGTATGAGTTCGGCAATGAAGAATAGGAGCTTTCACATGTGCAGAGTGTGAATAACACTTTCTATTAGGAGGTTGTATTCTAGAAAAGCCTAGCGTGGTGTATATATGAAACTCTGGTTTTGACATTTAAATTAAATCTGAGCCCTACACTGCTTTCGTTTATATCTAATGGGTGAGATTTGTTTGGTTCGTTTTTTACTTCTACGAACCTACCGGACAAGAAGAAAATATGGCAAATTGGCAACACAAACATATATCACTTCGGTGGATTAGAGAAGCCACTCGAACGTAACTCAACTGGTAGATAGTGAGTGTCACATCGGTATGTCTCGGGTTCAAATTCCATCGACTGCGATGACTGAGGAGAGCTTACTATATACAAACGCATAGGATCTCTACAAACATTTGAGTCAGATCCATGGTTTTAAATAGCCAGCCGCTACGGCTATCAAGACCGCTTTACAACGGTCGCGGTAGCTACCGCTACCGCTACGTACGAGTCGCTATCAAGGTGTGATTTTCAAATGCAGAAAATTCCGCTGTGTAACCCCTACGCTGCCCGCTACAGGTCGCTACCGGCACCTCCGGTAGTGCATCACGAACTGGTTGATGTGTAAATGTGTAAATGTTGTGTGCATGATGTGAAATACATTAATGATGGTGCTTGGAGTGGAACTCTAAATTAAATGTACATGTATCCACATACATTACGGGACCAAATATTAATTAATATTTAAATTTTAATTATTAAAACCGAATTGATTATTACTCCGTAATAACTAACTAGTATCGCACCCGTGCGATGCACGGGACAATATTTTGTTGATTTTTAGTTATGAGATATACATATAAAAATATCAAAGCACACACATTTAATATAATAAGATTTTTTTATCGTATTTAATATAATAAGATTAAAAAAATAAATGATATGAGAGATATATTAATAAGTTGTTGAATTAGAGAATTAAGAACATTAAAAAAAACTAAACGTTTTGAAAAACTTCTGGGTATACAACATTTATCGTTGAGTTACTGGAGGCACCATCGGGGTTGCATATCAATATTTTCAATCCTTCACGTCTGGTAACACGGGAAACAGCAACGTAGAGTTGACCATGACAGAATACCGGGTTTTTTAGGAACAACCCAACATGAGATAACGACTGTCCTTGACTTTTGTTGATTGTCATTGCATATGAAACCATTATAGGGAATTGTCTTCGCTGAAACTTGAAAGACATTCTAACATCCGATGGAGTCAAATTCAATCTTGAGATCAACACTTTTTGTCCTGCAGTATGCCCAGACAGTATTTTAGCTTCCAACACATGACATCCGAGTCTTGTGATAACCAATCTTGTCCCATTGCAAAGCCCCATTGAATGATCTATATTGCGTAGTAACATAACCGGAGTGCCAACCTTCAAAGTCAACTCGTGATTTGGAACTCCAGAACACTTGAGACTATTTAGGAATTCAGGGGTATAGACATCAGCTAAAACATCTGCATTTGTGTCGGACTGGCAAGCACTGTCTGAACTAAAATAGGTTTTTGATTCTTGGGTATTCAACGACATCATGTATTGATTGATGGAATCAACAACGTCTAGAGTTGGAGCCAGTATAGCCCTTTTTTCCAAATATGTTGGGTCGTCATCAATATCGGGAAAACCGGGGTATGTACTTCGGACTATGGTTGATATTGGATCATTTTCATATTTCAGCAATATATCATCTGGTATCTCAATTGTTGCAAACCCATTTGATGAATCACCAATTGCACCATCACCGATTCTTGCAATCCATTCAGCAAACTTTCTAATCCCTTCAACTTCATCCGGGGTGTTAGCACTTTGAAGCCTCATATTTTTCGTCAATCGCAAGACCTTACAACACCGGCCTCCATAGATAAGATGCATTGATAGTAGCTGAAACGATATCATTCCGAGAACCTTTGGGAATCACAGGCAATATTTGACGAAAATCACCCCCCAAAACAATGGTTTTTCCTCCAAAAGGAGTGCTCAAACTCACGGGATTCGTCAACTGCAATATATCACGCATAGTCTTATCAAGTGCTTCAAAACAATGTTTATGCACCATTGAGGCTTCATCCCATATGATAAGTTTGCACTTCACGATAAGTCCTGCCAATTGACTGCCTTGTTTTATATTGCACGTTGAGTCTTCATTTATGTTGATGGGTATAGCAAACCTAGAGTGAGCGGTTCTTCCACCAGGCAACAACAAAGAAGCTATCCCACTTGATGCTACATTAAGTACAATCTCACCTTTACAACGCAAAGCCGCCGATAAAGTTTTCCACACAAAGGTTTTTCCAGTTCCACCGTAACCATATAAAAAGAAAACACCTCCGGTGTTGGTGTGGACTGCATCAATTACAACATCATAAACCTTGCGTTGTTCTGCTGTTAAGTTGCATATGAGACTATCGTGCAGTTCTTTCATTTCGCTCTTGTTATATCGCAACTCTTCACATATCAATCTGTTCACGTTACTTTGAGTAATATCCCCACGCGGAAGTGGCATAGGGTAATAATCCTTTAAACTCCTTCCATAAGTTTGCAGCAATCGCTCAATCTCAATAAGTGCCAGATTCTTAATCTCATCATCATCGAGTCTCAAGGCTACACGAATAGGGAAACAATATTATGTACATTACAATCAACAATATAAATGCTAATATTTCTAGTGAATGTATTAGTATATGTAATACCTTCATATTGCAATAAACGGCGTTGTCTGTAAAGAATGTCATCTGAAAAGAATGTCCAGCATTTCTCCCAAATGTGCTCTGGACGTGACGCACAATTCGATGTTAAAATTGTTGTGAAAAGATATCTGAGTAAGAATGCAGAGGCTGAGTGACTTGACTCTTCAATTGCATCTATATATTCCCTATCATCATCTAATAACCCTCGCGCGTAACATGCATCACGATAAGTCAAAAACTGTATGTCATCAACTATTTTCAAATCATCGTGACACGTTGCTCCACGAACAACATTCATAAGGCATCGCATGTAAAATATTTCCCCGCTACCAGGAGGTACATAATTTATTCGCCCGATAGAAAATCCTTTCTTTCTTTCTTTCTTTCCACTCCTTTGTTTTTTTATGCCATACGAACTTTTGAGGGAACTCAACATAAGTTAAGTTTTTTGCTTCAGGGTATTTCTTGTTTGCTTTGAACCAAGCCAGAAACATACTCTCCTTCACAGTTTGTTGATCTACTACGTTCTGCAGTGATGAAGTGTCTGAGAAATATACATTCTGCTCACCAGGTAAATGCAAGCTTAATCGCTCAACCGCAGGATTTCTATATTGAATCTCGAAACCAAGGATTCTCCATGCTGCTTCACAGGGGGATACATATCTACAGTCATAGTACATCTTAATCTCATCAACAGGTTGATTGGACTCATTACAACTTGGATTCTGGTAAAATGCAGCAGTCACACGATCGTTCCCTTTGTTGACATACTTAAATAGGTACTTTATTGAGCGGGATTGATTGCACCACTCCACATTCATATGAGCACCATATTTAAGCAAGAGATAGCGATTGTGTGGGACTACAAATTGATTGGTCAGCTCGACCTCCCCTTTTATAACTGTCCTTCCATCATCCCTTCGTCTATAGATCGGGTACCCTTCATCATCAATCGTCGTCTCCTCATTAAATTTCTTTGGGAAATGTTTAGTGCAACGATCATTTGACATACACGGAGAATTTTTCCTAGATGGTCCACACGGTCCGTGCATCATTAAATCGGCTACCGCATCATAATAAACAGGATCCAAATTTTTATCTGGGATTTCAGCTGAAATGATACGGTCGATATCATTTGCAAACGGAGATGGGTCATCTCTAGCTATGAAGATCAATATATGAGCGTGTGGCAGTCCTCTTTTTTGAAACTCTATGGTGTATATGACTACAAAAGATTCCACAATTGTCATTACTTATACATAAATAAGAACTTGAGTTATTACATGGAAAATAATTACCTGCTTTAACACGACCAAATATTTTATTATCTCGGAGATCTATGATCAATCCGTCCAACTTTACTTTGAAAATTCGGCAAATAATATCAGCTCGGTCTTCTGGTTTGAGTCTCCTTTCTTCAAGAAAGCGGCTAACTTCAGACCATTTGGGATTGCAAGTAAACATTATGAACAAATCCGGATATCCAGCCCAACGACATATCGCCATGGCGTCTTGATAATTCTGGATCATATATCGTGCCCCTCCGGTGAATGTAGAAGGCAATATAACTCGTTTCCCTTGAGCACGTGAGTCCGTTTCTCCCCGCAATATTGCATCCGAAAGACCTTTATACAACTCACATCGAAGTTCTTTTTGATGTGTCCTAACATACCTCAACCTCCCGGCTTCTACCATTGTGTACGCATCCACAACAAATTGTTGAAAGAGTCTCTTTGAGAATAGTATGCTTGGGGATTCTTGATCTCTTTCATGCAAGCGAAATGCAAAATATTCTCTAACACTGACAGTACTTCTTCCATTTGATGTAGGAATCTTCAAATCAGAGAATAGGATGTCTTCTCGATAACCGTCTTCTCCATAAGGAAATAGAAGAGGATATTGCAAAGGTAGATAAGCCGGATGCAGTTCATTTATACGTTGCAATGATCCAGAGTGTGTTTGTAGCACAATATCTCTGTTACCCAAAGTTTCGTCAAAGTCACCTACTATTAACGCAGCCACTTCGGATGTTGAAGGAAGGTTATATGTTCGAGCATCAAAAACTCTCTTGCCAATGAGTTTCAACCGAATATTTAGCTCTCCATCGGTAACTTTCTGGCCAACCATTCTAAACGACTTAACGAAAGCATTATTTTTGTCCAACATATCTTTCAAATCGCTAACGATGTCGGTGTGGAGGGTGTTCATATCATCTACATCCCTATTAGATAAGAACCTCATATGTTCAATGCACTTATTCATAAAAAGGATTTAAAGAGAATTGTATTACAGTAAGATTAATGGCATACACTAACCTCACAGATCTTATTCGATTCACCACCTCATTTGCAGTATCGTAGATGTACAATTGTGCAAATTTAGGTACTTCATTCTCCTCAGGCATAAGACTTCCAATCAAATGGTAGTTCTGTCCATGCAATTTGAAAACCGGTGGTGATTTACCTTTGTTGTGCTCAACATCAATCTTGCCTCCCATCGAAGTGAAAGAAAACATACTATTATATGATCGTATGTTTTGTAAAAAGTGTTTACTCTTTTCACTATCACCATATAGAAGATCAAGTAGTACTTGAGGAGGAGTCTTCATCGGCGAGAGCTTTATTGTACCATTCACACAACAGAGAGAATACTTTGGACTTTTGGATTTGTAGTCAGCTCTCAATCTTTCGTCATACCAAAATGTTGCTCCACAATTCCCACACTTGTAAGTTGGATCTCCGATATCCCAATATGAAACAACTACATAAAATATTACTATTTAAAAACTAATATAATTGAGAACATAGAACTATATTAATTGCTTTATATTAAGATAGGTTGGAAATTAAGCGTTTACATACTTTTATTTGTAAGATTAGAGTTTTGCGATAAAAACGTTTTTAAAATAATGTTTTGTTTTGTAAATACACAGATATCCAAAGTATCAATAAGCGGAGACGAAGAAGAACAATTAATGTTGATCACCTTCCCCCGAAGTAGACTGAGTGGATACATGTTTCTCCACTCGTGCACGCTTTCTTGTCAAGCGATCCACATTTACTATACAAATAAAAATCCAGATTAGTTTATTTAGGAATAAAGTAAAGAGTTTTGTTTATATGAATTATATACCATATAAATGATACAATACAATAATCCATTTTATAAAAGTAATTACACATCTTAATAAATTTTCTCCTAGAAGATACAATTTATTGAGAAATATTAGTACACAGAATGTGTATATGTTTAATTTGTGTTTCTTTACCATTATTGGTTGGTCGTTATAAATCTCACTTCAACATAACTTTAAATTATTAATTTTAAACAGTGCATAACCTATAAAAGGACACACAACACTTTTAATCACTGTTATGGCTAGAAGCATGACGAAATTTATATGAAAAGTAGTTAAAATGGCCTTTTACACTAATGTCACTATGTCAGTTAACATAGTCAGAAAGGTAATTATAACCATGTTTTTCTTATTATTGTACGATTTAGCGCACGATATAAAAAAATTACATATATAGTAAAAAAGTTGGCTGATAAGCTTAATAACGTGAAAAACAGAATTAGCAAATGGCCTCGTAATTATAAATAGCGAGAAGTATTTATTTAGGGTGGGCCCGATCATGTGATAATTATTAACTTTCCATTTTTTAGAGTGTTTTAGAGCCCGTTTGGAGACAATTTTTTTCGGCTTATCAGCCAACTTTTTCACCAAACACGTAACTTTTACTTTCACGCGGTGGATTGTCTAATAAGCAGAAAAAGTAACGTTGGAGTTACTTTTCTGGCTGTATTGGCTGAAGTTACTGTAGATGACCATTCTAGCTATTTTTACATATAATTTTTTCTTAATTTTATTAATAAAATATAATTTTAAATTTTTTTTTTCTTGAATCAGCAGAATCAACCAAAACAACCACTTCAGCCAAAACTTCATAAATTTCAGCAGAATCAGTTAAAATAGCCGATTTTGCTGCTATCACACGGGCTCTTAAAGTTTATTGTTCGTTCCTAACCCATTTTGTGCTTAGCCCACACAATTTTGGCCCATCTGATTATATAAACCCTACTCCACCCTATATATACGCTGCCTGTCCGAAGGAGATTTGCTAGAAATTTCAGGCTGCTTCTGTGTAACCTTCATCCCTCTCTCTCACACCCTTCCATTTACGACTCCTTCCACACAATTTCAACCTTCTCTTCCATATCCATGCTTTTAGCGTTCTTCACAGTTAATTCGAGGTCCACAGAGGAAGATGGTCTCGGTGCTGGGCCACACCGTAGCTACCTTCTCCCTTCTCCCAGTCAGATATGTTTTTTTTTAACTACACTTGTTGTTTTGGTTATTTTCCAACCCGATGTGTCAATCCATTCTTTTGTAATAGATATATATTTGATAAGAAATCCTTATGAACTGATGTATAAGCATGTCTATCTGTAGCAGCTAATACATGGAAGAGAAGCTGGGCACATGCAATGTGAAATCGATCGCTTGGAATGAGATAAGTTTTTTCCAAACATTTTTGTGTTTATATTTTCGGATCTGATGATTCTTCCAAGTTATGATATATGTTTTACTACATCTGTTTAGATCTGATGATACAAAATTACTTCAGTTCTTAAAATTCATATGCGGTTTTCATCATCAGGCTGTAATTACTGGTTTTTATTTGTATATTTCAAAATTTCATTGTTATTAAAATAAGGACCTAAAAAATGTGGGGAAGTTGATGGTCTCATTAAGTCCAGTATATGAAAACATGTTTGGTCAGAAAGAGGATTGCAGATTTGCAGGTTTAAAAATGGTTTTTAGATGCCAAAACCTGCTGCTACGGGCCCATCTTAGGTACAAATCTGAATTACATCCGGGAAAATTTTCCTCAGGATTTCAGATGCAACCATAGAGGCAGTCGATTGATTGTTTGCTTAAAATCCTACCTTTTTCATACTAAATCAAATTTTTATCATTACATCAATTTGATTGCTCATTCTGAAAGAATGAGAAGCCCAACCTGAAGTAAACTTCTCTATGCTCCATGAATTTGTTTTCATATTGTTTAAATTAAAACCCATCTCAAGTTTATCTACTTATTATGGGCTGCTAAGTAATACTTATATTTCTCATTTTTGGTCCTTGTATATTTTCAGGGTCACCAAGAGTAGAAGTAAGAGCACTTCACATAAGAGAGACCTCTTTTGAGCCAAAGAATTTCTGAAAAACATAATAGGTTGATCCTCTCAATAAATTTTATCTCTTTATTTTTTACAATATACATTTTGGAGCTAAGTATTAATTCCTCATTTCAACCCATCTATTTTTACTAATCACCTATTCTACACATGTTGGCATTTTTGGAGTTACAGCTCTAAACAAATTTTCTTTACAGTTATATTTCCTCTTTTAAAAGATAAATACAGTTTTTATTTTTATATAATCCAATTTTACTTATATAAGTGTATTTTTAATCTAAAGAAAAAGTTGTTTTCAGTTTTTTTTGTATAGGTTGGAGCAGTCTAACCAAAGATGTTTGTTATGTTGAATTTAGTCAAACTCTTTTCAAACGAACAAATCAATTGAAATCTTTAAAATCCTATTCAGTTTAAATGATGCCAAAACCTGCTGCTACGGGCCCATCTTAGGTACAAATCTGAATTACATCCGGGAAAATTTTCCTCAGGATTTCAGATGCAACCATAGAGGCAGTCGATTGATTGTTTGCTTAAAATCCTACCTTTTTCATACTAAATCAAATTTTTATCATTACATCAATTTGATTGCTCATTCTGAAAGAATGAGAAGCCCAACCTGAAGTAAACTTCTCTATGCTCCATGAATTTGTTTTCATATTGTTTAAATTAAAACCCATCTCAAGTTTATCTACTTATTATGGGCTGCTAAGTAATACTTATATTTCTCATTTTTGGTCCTTGTATATTTTCAGGGTCACCAAGAGTAGAAGTAAGAGCACTTCACATAAGAGAGACCTCTTTTGAGCCAAAGAATTTCTGAAAAACATAATAGGTTGATCCTCTCAATAAATTTTATCTCTTTATTTTTTACAATATACATTTTGGAGCTAAGTATTAATTCCTCATTTCAACCCATCTATTTTTACTAATCACCTATTCTACACATGTTGGCATTTTTGGAGTTACAGCTCTAAACAAATTTTCTTTACAGCTATATTTCCTCTTTTAAAAGATAAATACAGTTTTTATTTTTATATAATCCAATTTTACTTATATAAGTGTATTTTTAATCTAGCAAAAGTTGTTTTCAGTTTTTTTTGTATAGGTTGGAGCAGTCTAACCAAAGATGTTTGTTATGTTGAATTTAGTCAAACTCTTTTCAAACGAACAAATCAATTGAAATCTTTAAAATCCTATTCAGTTTAAATGATGCTTCCGAAGCTATTTTTTCAACAGTTTGAGCATTTCAATAGGAAATATGATTAATCTAAATCTTTTTTGCAAATGTTAGATTCACGTATAAGTATCTTTTCCAGAATGTATGCTTTTTATTATAAATGCATATCATACAAAAGCAATACACTGAATTATATTCTCAGATATTTTAAAGCATGGTAAGACGGAAAGTGCTCTAAATATATTAAGAATTGAGATGAGTTTTTCCAAACTTTTTGTCGCAGCTCATACATAAAAAACAAACTGGGTAGATGTTTTGAGAAATCAACTGTCTAGAATAAGATAAGTTTTTCAAACTTTTTGTGTATCTTTTCTTATATGAGTTTAAGAAGGTACCCCAGTTCATAAAATGCATCTGTGACTTTTAAATGAGGGTGAAAATGCTATTTCTGTAAGCATAAGAAACCTCCTTTAAGTTATACCTTTTTGGGTACTGCTATACATTTTGCGAATATCCTCCAAGTGTTTTCAAAATACCTATGTAATTGCTCATTCTCAAACAATAAGAAGCCTAACTTAGAGTAAACTTCTATATGTCTATCAGTTTGTATCTTATTGTTCCAAAAAACAATTTCTAGTTTATCTTATTACTATTATGAGCTGCTTTGTAAAATTTAGATTTCTCGATTTCTTTTTTCATCTTTTAATAGAAATAATTTATTCAAAGAGAATGGAGAGTCCTAAAAGACAACTGCACATATACACTGAATGGTACCTGGATTACTACATCTGGAGCGCTTGTTTCCAAGGTTCTTTCTGGTACTTGAATTTGTGATGACATGTTCTCGAATTTCCATCTACTTTTTCTTGTTCATCATCTATAATTGAAGATTTGCTTTTGTATATAAGCATAAGCAGAATGAATCTTATTATTTATAAAAAAATAAAAGAAGAAATATTTTTAAGTGAAACTAAGGGTGTAGATAGTACCAGACGTTCTTGCTCTAGGAAGTTTGTCGTGGAGTTCTCTGCAATACAGTTTTGTTTACCCGAATTGTCAACGGGAGATAAGCTTCTTAGAGCACTATTGATATTCCTAAAAAAGTGCTTGGGGTGGCGTAAATATCTTCAACCACCAAGCCACTATCAAATAAGTAGCAACTTTTGTTTTTATATTAAAGTTACTGCGTACAGTTTTTTTAAACCACTATTGAAATCCCTAAAAATGTGCTTTGTGTGTGGCGTAAATGTCTCCAACCACCTAACCAATATCAAATCAGTTGCAACATTTTTTTTAATAAAAAATTACTACGCACAGTTTTTATTAATTCACTATTAGTAGACTGATTTCAGCCTCAATTTTTTTATAACGCAGTCTGCTATGTAACGCCTTTTTTTTTTTTTTTGTAGTGCAACGTTTTATATGTAGTGATTTGTGTTTTAATTTCCCATATTTACATTGAAAAGGCTCAATAACAATCTAAAATTTTACCATATATTACAAACCTAATATGTTACAAACCTAATATTATTTCCTTGGTCAATTGGTATTGGTGTAGTTAATTAGATTAAGGATAATTTTGTGTTGTCACTATTTGTAAACTAATATCAGCCTTTTTTTTAATAATGCAGGTTTATATGCAACTTGTTTTTTTTGTAGTGCATCAAATGTAAACTTAGGTTTAGGGGTCCCAATTGGGTTGCCCATTTATGTAATATTAATTGAAAGTGTATGTAATGTTTATTTAGCGTAGGGTTGCAGGTAATATTGTGCTGAAGACTTCAGGTACACTCACCCCCTTATCTTCTATTTCCATAAAGGATAACCATATATCTATACTTAATCTATCCGTTTATTATGTTGATTCGTAAATGCTATAAAAAGCAAAACAAACATTTCATACATCAATTTTAATAATGACAAAGCATTTAACTTAAGAATAAACTTAATTTTAGGTGATTTGAGTAATCAATGAACTTGGAAATTTAAATCAACACTGCATGTTATATTTACATTAATATGAACAGGGAACAGAACATTGTGTTTAAGAACACATTTAGGTGAAAACAAATATAGGAAATCCTAAAGGTTTAAGACCTTATGTGTTTGACAACACTTAGGTAATGCTTAAAAACACAGAAAGGTAGAAAGTAGGAAAACATGATAACACAAAGAACATAATTGAAAACACAGGCTTTCTGTAACGGTAAGAAGCCAGATTCGTTTAGGACTTCTCAATCTTGACTTTAATTGCCCTTTTGTTTCTCTTAACCATCTCCTGAAGAGTTTCTCCGCCATTTTCTGCTCCTCTTTTACTGCAAGCGGTAGTGTCACCATCAGTTTCAACGTTGTCGTTGACAGTAAGGTCAATCTCATCACATTTTTCTTTGTTTTTCTTGTTCTGCTTTCCAGAGGAATCCTCGCTTTCCTTAAATGTAAAAAGAGTTGCTCAAATGCAAAAAAGAAAATAAAGAGTGCTTTTTAAAATAAAATTGTAGAAATGAAGGTCGTTTTATTACCTTAGCATGCGAAGTTTCACCATTCATTTGTGCTATGTTCTCATTTTCAAGCTTAATCTTTTGAACACTAAAAGCATTTTCACTTCTCTTTGTGCTTTCATTTTGTACTTGAGCCAAACAAATCACTTTCTTGTCAATCAAATTTAATATTTCCAAAGGAAACCCATCTTCTTCTTTCTGTTCAAAGATATATTCCGCAAGTTCTTTATAGGAGTTTCAAAATATGTCATAGTTAGTCAATTAAAATCTTGCCTACCGTGTCGCCAACCATAGCAGCTGCCTTTTTCCCGAATAGTTCGTGGCATGCTGTATCCCATAGAATAAATGCAGCATTTGCTGTTTTGTCCATAATTCTTATCTTAACTTTGTACCTGTACTTTGTTTTTAGATAATTAGAGTTACCACTTTTTTAGAGTATGCAAAATGTTAAACTACCAAGCTTTATTACTTAGTCTTGAAAACCAAACCTCATCACTGCATCATGACGTTTTTTACATGTTGGATTTAGACATTCAAAACGGCCACATTTTGGTGCCACCTTCCTGGCACATTCTCTGCAAGCCAAGTACCACCATCCATCTCCAGTTTCTATATCAATGACTTCACCAGCAACCCAAAACCGACCATTCTAATATAAGATTTACAACTCACATTAGATTCTCCATGATCCAAAGTTAAATATAATAATAAAATAGAATTTCACAGAATTACCAATTTTTCCTGGAAGAGGGAATCAATTGTCACAAATTCTTGGTCTCCTGAACCATCCTCCTCTTCCTCTGTGGTCACAACAATTGGTGAACCATTGTAACCCTCATCACCATGCAAGTCAAACCTGTATATGAAGTCATTATGTTTGTCTTCACATAGGCACACACACATCACTGAATGGAATGCACAATTATAAGTATACCTGTCCTTAAAGACAAGTATCTCCTGGCCTTTACCATTGATTATCAGCCTAGACCCGTGGTAACTGTTTGTCATGCACACTTCGCCTTTGTACAGTCTTGGGTGAACCATTTGAACCACGATTAGCATGAAGTTAGGAGTCCTTTCTACCCCACGCCTTATTGCGTCAACAAAATCAGCCCAAAGTGTGCACCTGATCTTTTGTTGGCTGTATGGCATGTGATTAAAATTTTATGAAAATGTTATTGTTTATTTGAGAAAAGAATGGATATTAAGATTAAAATTAATAAAGAATTATGAATAACATACTCAGGGTCTTCCAAAACCATTTCAACCAATTTTTGGGTTGCTCCATTATTCTCACGTGGTCTAGGAAAATGGATTGACCTAACACTCCCTATTATATCTGTTTAACCATGTGTTGTTAAGATTCATAGTTAGTCTTCGTCAGATATATTAAAAATTTGAAAATAATATAAGGGTAAAATGGTATACCAAACAACTCAGTGAGGTTAACTTGATTTGCATTTTGAAGTCCAAAAAATGGTTTGAAGCTGAACATATTTTTTGGAAATGGAACATCATGATCAACCAATGTAGTCTTGTGGTTGAAAATGATGTTAAAAGGACAATTTGTTGTCTTGTATTTCATGGAATTAGGAGTCACAACGAAATTCCTCAAGATGTAAACGTTTCCTTCTTTTATCCGCTCGTTGAATGCCCCAAGCCTTTCTCGGCGAATTGTTGCATGAACTTTGTCGCCCTGTTTACAATTTGTTTAAAAAATTACAAACTGTAAAGTTGGCTTCAACTCTAAAAATGATCGTGAATTACATACCTCTTGATCGTGAAACACACACTCCATGGTATTGATCACATTTTTGTTTGTGAAAAGTGGGACTGTATAGGCACACACCAGTCTGACTCTTAGTGCCCAGTTTGTCTTTGAGGTGTTAAGCTCTTGTACCCTGTTGAACATCTTCAGCCTGATATTTTCAACCCTCTGCAAATTAGCCACAGAATTATTATTCACTCTGTGCTAAGAAAATCAAAGTAAAATAATGAGTGTGACGGAAGGTGAGAAATATACTGCAACAATGCCTGTGCTTGAGTTTGACATTTTGATTCTTCGGTGATGCAGGTATATATAGTGTTGTGATTTGATGAAACTACCTTGTCATGGCATGGCAGAAATGGTGAATCGTGGTTCTATTGTGGAGAAACTGTAGCTACAATCTAATTTAATTTTTTAATGTAAATGATATATTGTTCACGTGTGGAATTCTCAAAAAGCGGTGATCAGTTTTTTCGTAGATGTGCTGTAACAGTAATTAATTCACCATCATGTGACACGTGTCATAATCTATGGTCACAATTGTGCAGCATGTTGCACGGTTGTGCTTTTATATATATATAGATAAGGATGATTTAACTTTAATATGAGTTGACGAAAAAAATGTTGACTTAACATCCATTAATTATAGGTTTTGCGCACTTGAAAATATTCCACGCCACTGCGACCGCTATACTCATCGCAGTGGCCACTACCGAGATGACCGCTACCGTTATCGTTGCTGCTACGGTTATTTAATACGAAGTACCCTGGTCAGAGTCTTCTCATTATCTGTCAACTTGTGATTAAAGTCTAATTTGCATTCGAGTCAACTACCCGACCGGTGATGGGGCGGGCTCTTAGGGATGGGATGTCATCCTATTTTTAATGAAGTTAAGGCACAAGATATCGTTGGCGTCTATGGTTTGAATCATGAAATGATCCATATTCGATAACTTTAATACTTAAAACTAAGTAAAATGAACCCCGACCTCTCTTCCTATTGGTCCAAGACATTGAAGATGTACGTACATCAATCCCCAATGCAGTTTGCAAAGGACGAGCAAGAGGTGATTGAGGAAGCCTCATTGTATGTCCCTGCAGGTTGGTGAACTCTTGAGAGAAACTACCCCGCACTGGACCGGTCATCCCGACGTTGAACTGCCAACGGCCCTTTCCAAAATCATCAAAGGCACGTTGACTACATGCCTCTATCCATTACTATTCAAACTTATTTACCAAATCATTAAACACTATTGTCATGTCCATCTATGCCTTGTCCATTGTCATTACAATGGCCACCTCACATATTCCACATCATATATTAAAAAAATTCATTGCTGGGAGATTTGAACCCATGACATAGCATACAAAACATAAGTTCCACACCACTAAGTTAACTCATTTACTTTTGATAATTTCTCACTTATTAATATTTTAACTATACACATGTTAAGTTCTGCAACGTACACACTTAAAAAATTTATATTGAGGGGACCAAGGTTTATAATTTCACTAAATTTTTTACTGCATATATACAATTATACCCCACACACGGACACACACACATATAATTTTTTTCTTACAGGAGCCCACACCCCTGTCAGTCTCCCTCTGTCTCCATCACTACACATGTATTACTCGTTTGTTGAAAAATACATCTTCCTAAAATAGTTATATAATTTAAATGTACTAAAACTTAATTAATTTTGGATGTGAAATTAAAAATGAATCAACACTAAATAAAATAAATGTAAATAAGTGTCATGCTATGCCCAAGCTCACATCAAATTTAAAGACAAAACTTATTTTATTAATGTAAGTAAAGTGTAGAAATTATATGTATTTATATATTTTTATACTTATTTATTTATATATGTATTTATGTATTTATTTATAATTAATTATTTATTTTTTCATTTATATGTGTATTTATTTATTTATTCATTTATTTATTTATTTATTTATTTATTTATTTATTTATTTATTTATTTATTTATTTATTTATTTATTTATTTATTTATTTATTTATTTATTTATTTATTTATTTATTTATTTATTTATTTATTTATTTATTTATTTATTTATTTATTTATTTATTTATTTATTTATTTATTTATTTATTTATTTATTTATTTATTTATTTATTTATTTATTTATTTATTTATTTATTTATTTATTTATTTATTTATTTATTTATTTATTTATTTATTTATTTATTTATTTATTTATTTATTTATTTATTTATTTATTTATTTATTTATTTATTTATTTATTTATTTATTTATTTATTTATTTATTTATTTATTTATTTATTTATTTATTTATTTATTTATTTATTTATTTATTTATTTATTTATTTATTTATTTATTTATTTATTTATTTATTTATTTATTTATTTATTTATTTATTTATTTATTTATTTATTTATTTATTTATTTATTTATTTATTTATTTATTTATTTATTTATTTATTTATTTATTTATTTATTTATTTATTTATTTATTTATTTATTTATTATCTATGTATTTAGTTATTTATTTGCAAACTAAAAAACTATTATTTTTGTAATTTATTCAACCTAATTTACTAAAACCATTAGTAACATATAAAATAAGTTACTAAGATACTAAATTACTCAAAAAATTAATTTGAGATACTTCATTAAAAGTATTACTAATGTAAAAATATTTTTAAAATTATTTATCTAAGAAATATTATGCGGATTGTCTCAGTCTGGTTCAGGATGAACTCAATTCTTAAAAATTTATCTAAAATAGTGTTTTAGTTCTTCCGAAAACCTTAATTTGAGATAATTAAAAAGTATTATTACTGTATAAGTACTAATAAAAAGTGTAAAATAAATGAATAAATGAATAATTAAATAAAAAATTAAATAAATAAGTAAATAGATAAATAAACAAAGAATAAATAAATAAATCAAATTAAAATTTATTTAAATTAATAACTTTTTTTTAATTTAGTGTGAGCCAATCAGAATTTACATTTTTTATTTATTTTATTTAGTGTTGAATCATTTTTAATTTCACGTCCAAAATTAAATTTTACGGAGTAGTATATTAATTATGTATTTATTTTTAATTGAATATATGAAATTATTATGGTTTTATTATATTTTATAACTATTTTAGGAAGATGTATTTTTTAACAAACGAGTAATACGTGAGTTAAGTTTGTTCGTTCTAGAACTTAACATGTGTATAGTTAAAATATTACTAAGTGAGAAGTTATCACAAGTGAATGTGTTAGCCTAGTGGTGTGGAGCTTATGTTGTGTATGCCATGGGTACAAATTCCCCTAGCAAATTTTTATATATATAATCTTTTAGCAAACCTATGTTAGTTAGATGATATAGAAGAGCCAATGGATGATGTGGAATATGTGACATGGCCATTCCGATGACAATTGACAAGTCATATAGGTGGACATGGCAATTGTGTTGACATGGCGCCATGGCGGATGACAAGGCAAAAGTACTATTATTTGGGAAATAAGTTTAAAACCACCTCTCTTTGAGAAAAAAAAATGAAAACTACCCCTTTAATTGGGGAAAACTCTTTATTGAACAACATTGACTTTTTATGGGAGAAACAAGTCATTGAAATGCTAACAAGTACTCCGTAACAAAATGAAATACTCATTTTCGTACAAAAATCGATTCTCCTCCTTGGTAGCAAATATTGGAGTATTTGAGTGAAATTGTAGAAATACTTCTAGATGATCTAAATTGATTATAGAAGCAGTTTTATAAAGTTAGGAGAGACAAGTTTCTGAAAAACTGATTCTGATCATGCTTCTGGTTTTAAAAAAGAAGCAATAACTGTTCCGCTTAATGGATTGAAATACAAATAGTACGGAGTATCAAGCTAGGCAACTTGTACCGTCGAAATAAACATTGACCGGTCCAACAGAAGAAGTTTTTACTTTTAGCCGAAAGGAGTAAAATACTCTATAACATGGAATTCTAAACAAAAAATGATGTTTGTAGTCACTCTTATATCCACTTTTGTACTCACCTATGTTTGTGGTGTGTTTTATTTTTGTCTGTGAATCCTGGTTCACAGACAATATTTTGCACAAACAAAATATTGTTTGTGAATCCGATTCACAGAAAAAAAACATTTCACAAACATGGTGGGTATAAGGTGGGTATAAGAGTGGGTACATCAAGCATTGTTAACTTTTTAGAATTTTTTTCGAATTTTTATTATTTTTT